CCCCCAGCACCCCAGGGTACCCCCTTGGCACCCCTATGACCCCTCTCAGATACTTCCCATTACACCCATGCACCCTCCAAATACCCCCAGGATGCCCCCTGCACCCCCGAGATACACCCTTGCTCTCCCCAGCACCTCTCAATACCCTCTAATCCTCCCCAGCACCCCCTAACATGTCCCTGCTACCCCACCCCCCTCCCCGAGCACCCTCCCTGCAGGGCCAAGGGTGGGAGCAGGGGTGTGGGGACCCTCCAGCCCCACTGCCCCCACCCCATCTCGGCCACCCTCACGCCCCACTGTGCACCCCCCCAGTCTTTGACCGGGAGATCGTGTCCGAGATGGGGGCACTGGGTGTGCTGGGCCCCACCATCAAAGGTGAGTGAGGGGCAATGGGGGGACCAGGACCCTCCAGAGAGTGGGGGAGACTTTGGGGGAGCTGTGGGGTCACTGAGGGGGGAGTTCGGGTCCCCATAGAGACAGCAAGGGAGCTGGGGGGCTACAAGGGGTGGATGTAGGGGGCCAGGGGTCCCCCTTGGGGGTTACCAGGGTGTTATTGGGGGGGTCCAGGGTGCCATGGGGGAGTGTTGGGACCCCTGAGGAGGGGCTGGGGTGTCCCCTGGGGCAATGAGAGGGTTTGGAGGGGCTGAGGAAAGCAGTGGTCCTCCTTGGGGGTGTTTTGCAGTGGGGGGGGGGGCAGGGCCCTCACGTGGGGGTAGGGGGGTGGGTGGTTCCTGGGGGGGGCGGGGGGCCATAGGGGACAGGGTGAGCCGGGCTGGGATTCCTTGGGTTGGGGGGCCCAAGGGTCTCTGTGGGGCAACGCTGTCCCCAGGGTATGCCTGGGGGGGGTCCAGCATTCTCCGTGGGGTGATGCTGTCCCCAGGGTACGGCTGCGCGGGCACCACCTCCGTGGGCTACGGGCTGGTGGCGCGAGAGCTGGAACGGGTGGACAGCAGCTACCGCTCGGTGCTGAGCGTCCAGTCCTCCCTCGTCATGCACCCCATCCTGACCTACGGTACCCCTGCCCAGCGGGACCGCTTCCTGCCCCCCCTGGGTGAGACCGG